TGTGTGTGTGTGTGTGTGTGTGTGTGTGTGTGTGTGTGTGCCTGTGTGTGTGGGTGGGTGGGTGTATAGAAATGAACATTGAAGTCAGCACTCAGAGGCGACAGGCTGTTTCATGCTAGACGCAATCATCAGGCCACAAATGTTGGATTTTTCCTCGGCTATTTATATGTATGAATGTGACGTCCCCCGCGGTCGAGGCGCCAAATGTGACGTCACCCGTCTGCCCCTCTGCGCCGTCGCCGTCCTATCCTGTCCTGTGACGACCAATGTGACTTGGTATTGGTCGCGGCACCAAATGTGACGTTCTAACCTTTTGCTGATTCGGATGGGAATCTGGTTAGATTCGGCATCAGCCTTGTCATTCTCCGCTCGCCTCCAACGTCTGGTTACCGAAGTAACTGTTTTGATTTCTAGTCTAACCTACCCACGTTGTGATTTGATCTTAGGTAGACGAAATCAATCCGTCGCCGGGCCGCGATGCAAGTCGAGTCCGGACAAGGGTAATACCGCACAAGTATATGTAAAAGAAAATAAAGTAATAACTCGAAAAGTTCAAATGTGTTAAAAAAGGATAACAATATTTTATATCTGGTTGCTGAATACTGGACTGTATCTTTCTACTAACCCGCTTATATGGATTCGTGACAGTTTGTGTTTGTTAGGCGAGTCTTAACATCTTAAATTGTTTTTCAGGAAACTGTTTTTTTTTTTGGTGTCTTCAGGCGATATTCGCAAAACTGGTTTTGGTGGTGTGAGTCTAAGTCGTTCTTCAAAAATAAATTGTTCTTGGCTAGAAGTTGAGGTCGTGAATGCGTGGGTCTTGTCAGCTTTCTACGAGGCGGGTCTTCAGAGCTCTCAACTCAACTGCAAACTGCAAATGCGAACTCAACCCCAACTCAACTCCAACTGCGAACTCAACTCGTTGCGACTCTGCTTATATGGACGCCGACGAAAACCGGGGTGGGCTTGTCGGGGTTTGAGGTTCCTTGATAATTCTAAATCCGCATTAAGAATTTTCTTTGTTTTTGGTCAGGAAAACCATATCACTTTCCATTTTTGGAAATCTTTTACGTTCTACTTTAAGGGAATGGTCCTCCCAATTTCTTCCTTTCTCATATGTGTATCTCACCCAATCTCTTCAGAGGCGTCAAAAGATTTCCCATCTCTCTCTCTCACAGTGGCATCTCTCCCCTCCTTCTTTACATGATTACTTTCGCCTACCGCTCACGCCACCCTTCAGCCAATGAACGCTCAGCGGCGTAGATGTTTGCTAATTATCAAAAAAAAAAATTATCTATTTTTTTTCTTTTCTTTCTTTTCTTCTTCCCGACAACACATCCTTAGACTCTTATCTTATTCGAATCCCATCTGGAGTTCGTCAATAGCTAGTTTTTCACCAGCATCAAGTGGGTGGTCATTTGGCGAGTTCGCACCCTGGTACCAATTATTCGTTCTGATAAAATAATTTTTCTATCATGGGCAGCTCTTGACATAAAACAGGCGCCTTTTCGAAACGACATCTCCTCAGATAGCTAATGCGTCAGTCTTTCTTTCTTTGTAACTTGGTTGTTCTAAGGGACATTTTGTTTTTCGGTCAGTGCGTGCTTAATTATTATTATCTCTTAGCACTCTGTCCCGTAGGCCACTCGACCAATTTGAAATTTTCATTATCGCCATGGGTAGACGGCTGTATTTTATTCGATGTGTCGTCATAAATCAAATTAAACCGGCAGAACAGGGATCTTACTTTCTTCGCTAATGAAAATGAAATCTTTACCACTTTCCTTTGTTAGAAAAAAAATAACATTGTTCAGTGTCTTTTCGTGATAGATTCTTATCACCTAATTTAATTCTCGCCTTTTTTTTCTTTTTTCACGCAACCCTAAATAGTGTCACATGGGTCAGTGGTGCATTGTGGGTAATATATAATGACGGTTATTTTTGCGGGAGTGGTTTATTAATTTATTTATATGTGTTAATTTATTTTACTTGTTTTTCATTTTTATTTTGTATTATTTATTCTCTTCGGTTTTTGGTGTCTTATTAATGAATAACCAAAATAAATACATAAATAAATAAAGTAAAACTGTCCACACACCAAAATAACAGAATGGACTACAGCAAACAATCTAAACATTGGACGGATATATAGCTTTAATTATTGTGATGGGTTCTTATCTATAACTACAGAATGAACTCTTCCTAACACTATGCATACTACGCCTCTCAAGAGAGAGAGACGAATCAAGCCGTGCTTCTCGGCTTGACGGTCGAACTCTCTGCTTCTGAGCAGAGAGGAACCCGGACGAGGCTCCGCCGAAGGGCAGAGTCGCGTTCGGGGAGGTTGACCAACCCGATCCCGTTTATACGGCTTCTACGGGCATTTTTTGGCCGAGCCTATGGGCTCGGGAAACCCACGTTAAACTCGGCCTTGTGCCACATGCAACCCTCGTGGGGGGTGGCAAGATACCGAATCAAGCCGAGCTTCTCGTATAAACATAAACAATGCCCATATATACATATATATATATATATATATATATATATATATATATATGAAAAAATATAGTGTTAATATGTGCTATAGTTATGGGATAAAGTGCTCACCATCAGAGATAGAGCGTGTGTAAATATAAAAGTGAACATAGAAATCAACACTAAGAGGCGACAGTCTGCTTCATGCTAGATGCAATCGTTAGGTGGCCTGACGATTGCATATGGCATGAAACAGACTGTCGCCTCTAAGTGTTGATTTCTACGTTCACTTTTATATATATATATATATATATATTATGAAATAGACAAAGTCCGACAATTATTTGAAGACATTTTTTATGTTTATACGTTCATTTTGTAGATACAAATATTTAAGTAAATGCTCTGTTTATAATATTATTATATTTTTTGTAGCTACAAATATTTAAGTAAATGCTCTGTAAGAGGACGCATATTTTCTATTAAAATTTCTCGGACATTCAGGCCGGTAAATGCCGTTAACACTGTTTATTATAAACAGACCATTTACTTAAATATTTTTATCTTTAAAAGTACGTATAAACATAAACAATGTCTATATATATATATATATATATATATATATATATATATATATATATATATATATATGAAGAAATATAATCTTAAGGCGTGCTATATTTATGGGATAAAGTGCTCACCATCAGAGATAGAGCGTGTGTAAATATAAAAGTGAACATAGAAGTCAACACTTTGTCTGTTTCATGCTAGATGCAATCGTTAGGTGGCCTGACGATTGCATCTAGCGTGAAACAGACTGTCGCTTCTGAGTGTTGGCTTCTATGTTCACTTTTATATATATATGAAAATCGGTTAAAAATTTAAACAAAGAAATCTTTTCCGTTGAATTTAACAATATAATTATATATAATTTATTATATTAATAGTGTGAAACAAAGTCATGAGAACTGACTTTGTTAGGCTAATTTAACACTATATAAAATTTACTATATTAAGAGAGGAAGTGTACTGGATATCAAAGATATTGTTTATAGATACAGTCAGTGCGGATATGGGAATCAACACGGCCTGATGACACTTACTTCTAATGTGATTTTGGATTTGGTCTAAAAATTGCACCGTGGTGTGAAACGGTGTCATCAGGCAGACATTGTCAGGTTAATTTAACAAAGCATGTCTAAATGAATTATTTTTACCTAAATATATTCTAGATATCGGAAGCGGCCAATAGTTTTTGAAGATAATCTCAAAGATCAATAAGTACAATAAGAAATACTGAAAGATTTCATTGAATTTCCAATGGAAAATTCTTTGCTTTCTTTTAATTAATTTTATTTTTTAATCCATGTTTTTATTAATTCATTCACATGCTACACACACACACACACACACACATATATATATATATACACACGCACACACACACGCACACACACACACGCACACACACACACACACACACACACACACACATATATATATATATATATATATATATGTTTTATACAGACACACACACACACACACTCCCAAATCTCATGCAATTTTAGAAATTTATAAAACAAATTTCACCAGCCATTTATATATAGCAGGTCCTGTGGAAGAAAATGAGAATTCATTTCATTAAATTGAAATTATAATGATAATTTCCGCATGATTAATTATTGAACATAATGACATTAATGAACTGAGATAGATAGATAGATAGATAGATAGATAGATAGATAGATAGATAGATGTGAAAAGGATTGGACATTTATGTTGTAAATAGATTCCATCAAGCAGATACATACATACATACATACATACATACATACATACATACATACATGTGAAAAGAATTGGACATTAATGTTGTAAATAAATTACACAAGACTTATAAAAAGATAGATGGATAGATGGATGTGAAATGAATGGGGCAATCATGTAAATACATTACACCAATGATATAGATAGATAGATAGATAGATAGATAGATAGATAGATAGATAGATAGTTACATGCATAGATGTGAAAAGAATTGGACATTCATGTTGTAAACAGATTTCACCAAACAGATAGATAGATAGATAGATAGATAGATAGATAGATAGATAGATAGATAGATAGATGTGAAAAGGATTGGATATTTATGTTGTAAATATATTTCACCAAACAGACAGATAGATAGATAGATAGATAGATAGATAGATAGATAGATAGATGTGAAAAGAATTGGGAATTAATGTTGTAAATAAATTACACCAGACTTATAGATAGATAGATGTGAAAAGAATGGGGCAATCATGTTGTAAATACATTACACCAAAGAGATAGATAGATAGATAGATAGATAGATAGATAGATAGATAGATAGATAGATAGATAGATAGATGCATAGATGTGAAAAGAATTGGACATTCATATTGTAAACAAATTTCACCAAACAGATAGATAGATAGATAGATAGATAGATAGATACATACATACATACAGGCATACATAGATGTGAACGGAATTGGACATTAATGTTGTAAATAAATTACACCAGACTGATAGATAGATGATAGATAGATAGATAGATAGATAGATAGATAGATAGATGAAGTACAGACTGAGATAGATAGCATTATCGCATCACCTGTAGCAAATCTCCACTTAACTCTTATGGAGCAAATATGAGAAACGTTCTTCTTTGATAGGAATTCCTTTATAGATATTACTACCTCCATTAAATGCCTGAACATTCCTTGCCACGTACATCAACCGGTTACCTTTTAGTCTCATTTTACACATTTCATGTCGAGATCTTGTTACACACCACAAACTGTTTACGAGAATAGAACTGTAATTTCTTCAGGATATTCTTACCAAACGATGTCACGAACAAGTTGGGCACGTTCTTTCACTCCGTCGAACGGGTACAGCAAATGTCAGTAGAAACCGCAGGCTAAAAGAAAATGAATAACAAGGCAAAAGAATATAATAAAACCTACTTGAAGCGGTTCAAGGAAGGGTTGAATGAAATTAAATTAAGTTGGAACTGAAACTGAAGTACCTTTGACGCTTACAGCCTGCTAGGATTGTTGATAATGGATTTGCTTTCATGTTCTTCAACCTCGGTGTCATGGATACGCAGTACAATACAGGGCGATATCCGTTCAGTATATATATATATATATATATATATATATATATATATATATATGTATATATATATATATATATATTGTGTGTATTTAGGCAGCATATTTTCATTTATACACGTTTCATTAAATAATATAGACAAGTGTTGTCTATTTATTTTATGTAAAATTTTTTCGTATCTTCTGATAAGTTTGATAACATTATCATTAACCGAAAAAAGAAATTCACAATATTTATCCATTATTTTTTTAATATAATCTAAGCTTTCGGCTTACTCAAGCCATTATCAAAGATGTAATTACAAACATATCAAACAATATACGGACACGACAGTGATGATATATATATATATATGCACACACTGATAAAAGGAACTACTATAGTCCCTTATGTCGTTAATTAACGTGTCGATCCAAAATCATATAGTATGAGGCATGTTGTAAATACACCGTGCTTACAATAAGATAGAGTAAAATCAATGATATTTACCCTATTCGAACTTGAAAATAAGCAAATGATGTGCAAATAATATATCATTACCATCATAATCGTCGACGTCGTTGTCGTTGTCAGCATCATCATCGTCGTCGTCATCATCATCATAAATCGCCGTCATTTTCGTCATCATCATCATCATCGCCAACACAATGTCTTCATCATCGTTGTGGTCGTCATCGTCGTCACCATCATCATTATCATAATCACCGGCGTTATCGTAAATCATCATCACCGCCATCATCGTTCTACGTCGTCGTCATCAATCCCCGTCAACTTCATCATCATAAATCGCTGTTACCATCATCATTGCCGTCGTCGTCGTTATCATCAGTCATCGTCATCGTCGTCATCAATCGCCGTCATTTTCAACATCATCATCGCCGTCGCCGTCATCATTATCGTCACCTTTGTCTTCGTCGTTATCATCATCACTGCTATCATCGTATTTGTCGTTATCATCAATTACCCTCGTCATCATCATCATTGCTGTTACAATCGTCATCATCGTCTTTGTCGCCATCCTCAATTACACTCATTTTCACCAACATCATCATCATCATCATCGCTGTTACCATCATCATCATCGTCGTCGTCGTTATCATCAGTCAGCGTCATCTTCATCATCATCATCGTCATAGTGGTTGTCTTCCTTGTCATCATCATCACTGTCTTTGTCGTCATTATCAATCATATTCATCATCATCATCGCTGTTACCATCATCATCGTCGTCGTCGTTATCATCAGTCACCGTCATCATCATCCCCATCATCATCATCGCCGTCACTGTCATCACCATCATCGTCATCATCAACACGATCATCATCATCATTATCGTCAACTGCATGAGTAGCAGTGGTCAGTTGGTGTACACAGCATTCTGGATAACCACTCTACAGTGGAATTAACCTTCGTTGATGAAAACTATTCTTTTTTTTTTTTATCGGCTCCACATCTCTAGCCATCTTTGTACTGCTTCAGATGCCTGCGTTTTGAAGTCAGAGTTGCTTTTATTCCCCTAGACTGGTGTCAACCACGGCTAGTGATCTAGGCCTTCCCCGCTATTTACCATATAGCACGGGAGGGAAGAGAGGGGTTCATACCTTCCCATTTGCATTTCAGTGAAAGTGAATGAAAGGAACTGAACCAAATTTTCAACCCGGCTCAACAATTTTCCTCTCCGACCCGATAACCGTTACACATATCTTTCTTCCTCTCTCTCCTTGTCTCTGTTTCGGTCTCTCTCTCTCTCTCTCTCTCTCTCTCTCTGTCTCTCACAGTATATGTGTGTGCGTGTGTGAGTGCATCTATATATATATATATATATATATATATATATATATATATATATATATATATATATATGCTCATACAGGCAACCGGACGTCTACCACACTGATGAGCTGTGATACAGCGAAACAGTCTGTCTGTGGATGACAACCTATATATATATATATATATATATATATATATATATACTACTACTACTACTACTACTATCCCGTCGAATTAGGCGTATGAGGGTCAAGCAGATCAGTTCCCAGGAAACCGACAGTCCGACAACAGCACTTGAGAATTGATTATAGCGGTGAAGGTTTCGTGCAGGACCATCCACACTGTGGATATATATATATATATATATATATATATATATATATATATATATATATATATATAAATAATATAATTATGCTTGTTCCTTAATTTGCACGCACTTGATACCCTGGCAGTAACTTACAAATGATGGGCAATTCCATCGAGAGGGAAAAGACATACTAGAGACGATGCCTGGTTTCAGTCAAAAAGAAAGAAAGGAAGAAAGACAGAAAGAAAGATTGAAAGAAAAAAGATAGACGAATTGATAATACTGTCATATGTTTAACGTCTGTTTCACTGAAATGAAAAGAGTTGCCGTTTTCAAATATTTTCATTTGTAACCTGTTACTACTTTAAATAATGACGTGAATTCATATTCATGATTGTCATTGCAATTTAAGTTAAATTTAATTTGTTAAATTTAATGATTCAACAGAGACATGTCTACGGGCATTTTATGTTCGGAGACATTTAATAATTAATTTATGAACAAAAATCATCAGAAAATTTTCACGTGTAATGCTAGTCTGACAAGAAAAAGACTATACCAACGCGTTTCTTTCCTTTAATTCACTATGGACATCGATTCATCTGTACAAAACACAATAAAAAAATATTTTACAAAATTTAGTAATTTACTGTAGTTTTAAATGGCCGAATTTAGCAAGCAAGCGGACCCGCGAAAGAGAAATAGAGGAGGATGGAAAGCGAGAGAGAGAAACAGAGGAGGATGGAAAGCGAGAGAGAGAGAGAGAGAGAAAAAGAGGAGGATGGAAAGTGAGAGAGAAAAAAGAGGAGGATGGAAAGTAAGAGAGAGAGAAAGAGGAGGATGGAAAGCGAGAGAGAGAGAGAAAAAGAGGAGGATGGAAAGCGAGAGAGAGAGAGAAAAAGAGGAGGATGGAAAGCAAGAGAGAGAGAGAAAAAGAGGAGGATGGAAAGTAAGAGAGAGAGAAAAAGAGGAGGATGGACAGCGAGAGAGAGAGAGAGAGAAAGAGGATGATCGAAAGCGAGAGAGAAAAAAGAGGAGGATGGAAAGCGAGAGAGAGAGAGAGAGAAAGAGGATGATCAAAGCGAGAGAGAAAAAAAGAGGAGGATGGAAAGTAAGAAAATGAAAAAAGAGGAGGATGGAAAGCGAGAGAGAAAGAGAGAAAAAGAGGAGGATGGAAAGCAAGAGAGAGAGAGAGAAAAAGAGGAGGATGGAAAGCGAGAGAGAGAGAAAAAGGAGGGATGGAAAGCGAGAGAGAGAGAGAAAAGAGGAGGATGGAAAGCAAGAGAGAGAGAGAAAAAGAGGAGGATGGAAAGGAGAGAGAGAGAGAAAAAGAGGAGTATGGAAAGGAGAGAGAGAGAGAAAAAAAGGAGGATGGAAAGCAAGAGAGAGAAAAAAAGGGGGGATGGAAAGTAAGAGAGAGAGAAAAAGAGGAGGATGGAAAGTAAGAGAGAGAAAAAGAGGAGGATGGAAAGAGAGAGAAAGAGGAGGATGGAAAGCGAGAGAGAGAGAGAAAAAGAGGAGGATGGAAAGCGAGAGAGAGAGAGAGAAAAAGAGGAGGATGGAAAGCGAGAGAGAGAGAAGAAAGAGGAGGATGGAACGCGAGAGAGAGAGAGAAAAAGAGGAGGATGGAAAGCGAGAGAGAGAGAGAGAGAGAGAAAGAGGAGGATGGAAAGCGAGAAAGAAAAAGCGGAGGATGGAAAGTGATAGAGAGAAAAAAGAGGAGGATGGAAAGAGAGAGAGAGAAGGAAAAGGAGGAGGATGGAAAGAGAGAGAGAGAAAAAAGAGGAGGATGGAAAGCGAGAGAGAGAAAGAGATGTGGATTGAAAGCGAGAGCGAAAAGAGAGGAGGATGGAAAGTAAGAGAGAGAAAAAAAGTAGGATGGAAAGCGAGAGAGAGAGAGAGAGAGCGAATAGCATAATGTTTGTTTTTTTTTTTTCAACAGACGGAGACAAGTAACATAACCATTGGCATTACTATAGTTTTGCATTGTGCGATGCCGTGTAAATACCAGATTAGACTCCACGCCTTAGATGGAAGACAGTGTGTAGGACAGGATATATTTCGATATATATATATATATATATATATATATATATATATATATATATATATATATATATATATATATATATATTCTCGACTCTCCCATCGAATTCGACGTGTGAGGGTCAAGCAGATCGGAAACCGATAGCCCGACAACAGCGCATGAGATTTGATTATAGTGGGGAAGGTTTCGTGCAGGAACATCCGCACTTTTTGAGAGTTGTTCTTCTATAGAAGCCAGTCTGTCCTGCTATTTACCCATAGCTGGAGGGAGAAGAAGAGGATTCACACCTTTCCCAAGGGTATTAGCTAGCACGTAAGTGAATGCAATGGATTCGACTAGAGTTCGAACTCAGCTCTCCAATATATATATATATATATATATATATATATATATATATATATATATATATATATATATATATATATATATATATCCCCTCAAAAGACATTTTGTCCCAATGATTCTCCTTATTTGATAGTTTAGTAAGTAATCCCGTTTCGAAAGAAAAAAACAGGAAAAATGGAAAATTAAATGTCTTTGGCTTAGATGCGAACGTGTCTCGTCAGTATTCTAATGATGTTGTGAGAGTATCTTTTTGCTTGATATATTGTCTGAACTTGGAATTGTTCTAGCCGTTTCTTTCTCCTGCTCGAAATCTTATTGAAAGCATATCTCCCAAGCCCACTATTTGATGAGGGCGGAGGATTAGCCTTTGATCCCCCCCACCCACCAGGTCGACGCTTGGACATAAGGTAAGCCGTACATTCAGCAAATTTTTTTTTTCTTTTTAAATTTATCCATTTTTTTCTCTCCACCCCCCCACACAGACATTTTGTCCCAATGATTCTCCCTTATTTGATAGTTTAGTAAGTAATCCCGGTTCGAAAGAAAAAAACAGGAAGAATGGAAAATTAAATGTCTTTCGCTAGATGCGATAATAATTCCAATTTTCAATTTCTTTTTAGAATAGACAATAGGACTAATACTGAGTTAAAACTTAATGTGATAGGGTTTAGCCAAGTGTGATCCAGGACTCCTTACCTGTTATCTCCCCCCACCCCAATCCTTCCCTCTGTTTTTGTCGTCCATTTTTGTGTTATCTGTAAAAGGAGTAGGTAGTCTCTTCTACCGCCGGTCAACACTCCTCCCCATTCTATTGGACATGAATAGTGGCTTACACCTTGTTTCTTGTCTAGGAAGAGGTTCCTGGTACTCTTTCTCTCTCCGGCCTCTGTATTAGTGCAGCTCTGTTTCTCCCGTGATGTGTGCAGTCTGAGGCATCACCTCTTCATTCTGAGGATACACGGTTGACAGTTCTCTGGTTGCTGTTTCCTACTGGTAGTTAGGAGCCCTAACTCTTGCGTAACGTCTTGAGCGGCCGCTCTGATCAACAGTTGTATAATACCGGGGTGTTTGTAGTGCCATGTCGCGCATGGAATGGTGTCCCTTCAGTCACCTCCGGTGGGCAGACCTGGGGCCACATAATGATGCAGATTTTGCCAACACCTCTCTGCCTGCGTCACGGTCGAAACTGTCTGTGTCTTTTACTTCGGGTCTTCTCATCTTACAAACAAAATTCAATATAAGTTACAAAAACCGAAAGATTAACCCTAAACCTGCCTCTCAAAACCCATCTAAACCCCTCAACATTTCGTTCTCCAACATCCGGGGCATTAGGACCAACTTTTGCAGTCTGGAATCTTTCCTCACTGCAAACGGCCCGGATATACTGGCTCTCTGTGAGACAAACCTTGTCTCGTCTATCCCCTCTTCTGATCTCTCGATCCCCGGCTATCTTCCTCTCCTCAGAAAAGACTCTCTAACCCACATGCATAGTCTTGGTGTCTACGTCAAGGAACATCTCCCTCTGGCCAGAGAGTTCTCTCTCGAATCGCCAGATCAGTCATACATGTGAATCCGACTCTCTCTCCTCAATGCGGTAAGCTATCTCTTCTTCCTTTACCGCTCTCCATCCTCTCAAGACTTTGAGATACTCGATAGCATTTCTGACAGCATAGACAAGGCTCTCTCCCTCCACCCGTTTGCTCACATTTTTGTGTTTGGTGACTTTAACGCCCATCACACCTTGTGGCTTAAGAATGCTACTATTGACCACGCAGGCATTCAAATGCTCAATTTTTCAATCTCCCATTCCCTCACACAGATAGTTTACTTCCCCACTCGTTTTGCCTTCAACCGGGAAGGTAAAGCCTCTCTTCTCGACCTGTGCTTTACCTCCATCCCCGAATCCTGCAGCGCCTCGCAACTCTGCCCTCTTGGTACCTCTGATCATGCAGTAGTATCAGTTAACATCTCCTTCAACTCCATCCCCTATAAAGTACTTTGGTACTGGCCGTTATCTCCAATTTAGACCCCAACAAGGATAGTGGTGGAGACGGGACACCAGCTATTGTCTTGAAGAAATGCGCGCCTGAACTGGCGCCCGCCCTTACTAAACTATACAACTACTGCCTCAAGGAATCTTATTTTCCTGACTGCTGGAAGTCTTCTTCGATCGTTCCTGTCTTCAAGAACTCCGGCGACCTCTCTGACCCTTCCAACTACCGTCCTATCAGTCTCCTTCCCCTCTTCGGCAAAATCTTCGAAGCCCTAATCAATACCGGGGTGGTTAACCACCTCACATCCCATAATCTGCTCTCAGAGAAGCAATATGGTTTCCGCTTTGCCCGATCCACAGCCGATGTGCTTACGGCCATCACTGAAACAGTCTACCGAGCTCTTCAAAATAACGGTGAAGCCGGAGCCGTGGCACTAGACATCTCCAAAGCATTTGATAGGGTTTGGCATGCCGGCCTTCTTCGCAAACTCCTGGGTTATGGCATTACGAGTCGATTATATAACCTAATACGATAATGCCTGTCAAACCGTGAATTGAAGGTCGTTCTCAACGGATTCTCCTCCAGTTCCTATCCCACGAACGCAGGTGTTCCTCAAGGCTCCATTCTAGGCCCCACTCTATTCTTTATCTACATAAATGACCTTCCTGACGCCATAACTTCGCAAGTTAACATCTACGCGGATGACACCACAATTTATTCCTGCCTCAAAAAAAAAAGCTAGTCTCGCTGACAAAACACACCTGGCCGTGCGTCTCGAAAAAGGACCTCCAATCGATTGTGAACTGGGGCATGAATTGGCTGGTCAACTTCAACAATTCTAAGACAAAACTGCTCTCTATTAATCACCACAAAGATCCTTCCCTTCCCTCCATTAGAATATCTGACGCTCAACTTCTCGAGAGCAACTCTCTGCGGCTTCCCGGTCTCACGTTGACTGCTGACCTGAGATGGAATAAATACATTGAGTCAATTGCCTCGTCCACCGCAAGGAAAGTTGGCTCCCTGTGCCGCGCCAGGAAGTTTTTCTCCCCGGAATCGATCCTCCAGATCTACAAATCAACAATTCGCCCTTGCATGGAGTATTGCTGCCATATATGGTCTGGAGCCCCTTCTATTTGGATCGGGGTTCTTGATAGGCTCCAGAGGCGGATATGCAGTGTGGTTGGCCCTCCCCTGGCGTCTCGTCTACAGTCACTTTCTCACAGACGCGCCGTCGCCTCCCTCTGTCTGTTCTACAAATACTTTCATGGAAATTGTTCCGAGGAGCTGCATTCGCTGGTTCCCAGACGTCATGAGTTCCAGCGCCTTAGGAGGCTGGCATCCCGCTCTCACCCCTTCACTGTCGAAACTCCTAAATGTAGCCGTCTCTTCTACTCTAATAGCTTCATGTTCTCGCACCTCTCGTCTGTGGAACTCACTTCCTATTCCTGTTTCCCTGTGAGCTATAATCTCCAGCTATTCAAGTGTAATGTCAATCGACATCTCCAGTTGCCTTGATCTATCCACTACCCTCATCCTTTCTTCTATCACTCCTATCTGATCTTGCTCTAAACTTTCTGTAACCCCCTTGCGTCATAGTGGCTTCCCGCCTTGCTTGGGGTGAAATGCTTAAAAAAAACAACATATATATATATTTCATCAGTGCTCTCACCGGAGTGACTACGTCTCCAAACTTGAAGTCCTCGAACAGGCGGACATCACCAGCATTGAAGACATGTTCTTGAAGTCCTAGCTATGCTGGGCAGAGACGTCTGCAGAACGGGAGACCATCCCCTCCCCAAGACAGCCGTGTACGGCGTACTCTCCACTGGACACCCTGTGTCAGAGGGGCACCAGAAAAGCGTTATAAGGACTCCCTCAAGAAGTCCCAATGTACCTGCAACATTGACCATCGTCAGAGTTCAACACTTGCTGCTGACCGTCAAGCATGGCGCCGGACCGTCCACCCCGACCTCATCACTTTTGAGGACCCTCGCATGACCAAACTGAAGGAGAAACGCTCCAAATTCCAGACCAGACCTTTAATTGCAGTCGCTGTGGTCGTACCTCCCTGTTCCGCATCGGCCTAGTCGGTCAGCAGCGTACCTACAGCCGACGGGGACAACTCACAGTCAGAAGAAGAAAAAAAGAATATTATACATATAAAGAACAGTATTTTTGCCGTCATTGTCATAAATTTTACTTAAAAAATATTTAAATATAAATTTTATAAAAATATTGTGACCTAGTAATATACATACTTATACTTGATGTGAAAATAATTTTACATACTGTAAGTGATTCTAATACATTTACTTGTTTTAAAAAGAAATATAGTATATTAAAAATTAAAAGTGAAAATATTTTAAAAATCGTAGTTAAATAAAACGTATACTAACCTAAGTATAAAATAGAAAAAAATGCCGTAAGAATTTTTTCCGTTAACACTAAATTTAAAAAAAAAATCCAGACGACATGCATTTAATGGATGTCAAAATTTCGTTGAAAAATACATCCCTACCCCTACCTAGACGAAAACCCTTCTTCAAACGTAACTAATAACTGATATGATGAAATACAGTGATAATGAATACGCAACCACCCCTTGTCTGGTTGAATGGAATTCTCTGTATCCTTGGAAACGTGAATTATGATTTTTTGCTGTGCCTTTTAAACATAGTAATTGTAAAAATAAGTTACTCCAAAATTCGCTTGAGGATGAAATGGAACTAATGTTTTTAATTTAATTACACAATTAAATTCGAAGCTTTTACCTTCCATTTTTGAAACATGGTTAGAATTGTGTAGCGAAAAACATATTTTAAATCAATTAATTCATAATATATATATAATATATATATATATATATATATGCCCCGGAAAGGGATATATTTGAACGAAGTAGCTAAGTGATTTTGGCTACTATAACTAAGTAGAATACGGTAGCAATAATTGACTGGTACGCGTGGTAGTCACAGTGTAAGATCAATGGCGTAGTCCAATGGGCGTCCGTCGGTATTCATGACGGACACCAGACAATCATATTCCAGTGAGGGGGAACACAAGTGTATGCATATTCCATTATATAATATATATATATATATATATTCAAAATTATAACATCTGCATGCTATAACATTACTATAAATTTTGTTTCAACTCAGTTGCTGTCTTATCAAGTGACCGTTTGATTGCAAAATAAAGGGTTTTATGAGCTCAAAAACACCCCCACTCAATAGGGGAAACACTGTTAGGTAACTTATTATGACCAATTATCAGAATATAATTATATCGTAATACAAATTAACGTGATAATATACACTAAGTACAATGTATTAGTGCATTAAATTTTTTTACCGTAAATCCTACGAGGCCCATCAAATCAAATGGCACTTCCCCATAGGGGATGCAGTTTCGAATCCTGACAGAGGACGCATTTTTCTGACAAGATTTCTCGAATATTTAAGCCGGTAAATGTAGTTGAATAAAAAATACTCTTTAAAAAAAGCTTCTTCGTCAAAAAAAATAATGTTTAAACAAAATGAATTATATATATATATATATATATATATATATATATATATATATATATCAAGGATATGATTGGTGTATATGGAATGAATTCCAATAACCAACAATTACTATTCTTAAAAGAGTGCTCAATACAAAGTAGAGCAGATATAATTATTTATTTAAAAAAAAAAAATTATAACATAAATATGTTATAAAATCACTACAAAAAATAGCCATTTGGTTTCAACACCCTCGGTGTCTTATCAAGTGATCGCTTGATAAGACACTGAGGGTCTTGAAAACAAATGGCTATTTTTGTAGTGATTTTTAACATATTTATAAATTTTTTTTAAATAAATAATATATATATATATATATATATATATATATATATATATATATATATATATATATATATATATATAAATATATATATATATATATATATATATATATATATATATATATATATATATATATATATATGTACTGATAAAGGGAACCTATAGCCCCTTATATCGTTCATTTCCGTGTCGATCCAAGATGACGAATGCAGTAAATACATCGGGCTGAAAAAAAGATAGATTAAACTGGAGGATTTTTATTCTGTTCGAACTTGAGAATAAGCAAATTATGTCCAAATAAAATATGATGATGATGATGATGATGATGATGATGATGACGGCGTTGAAGATGAACATCATCATCATCGTCGGATTCGTCGTTATCATAATCGTCGTCAACATCGTACGCGTGCGGGAGAGAGAGGGGAGACAGAGAAGATAACGAATGAAAGAAAGAAAGAAAGAAAGAAAGAGAAGGAGAGAGAGCGTTTAACATATAATGCTTTTTTATGCGAGTAATTTGAAGTGGTCGAGCCGAGTTCAAGTTCTGCCTGCGCCTGTTCAGTTGAATCTACACGACTGCTCTTGAAAAGACATAACTCTCTCTGTTCTCCAACCCAGACATCGCAATTTGAATTAGAAGAATAAACCTGGGTGGCACCTATTCTGGGAGAAAATCAGCTCATAATTGCGGACAAGGCAAGAAAAAAACACTCCATTGTCCCTCGCAAGACGCCATTTGTATATCAGTGATAAAATACATGATCTCCCACGTCCTGAACACGATATGATATTAAACCAAAAATAGATAGAAAGATAGATAGATAGACAGATAGATAGATGGATGGACATAACGTCCAATTTTATTTCAATTTTGACCATATAGTTAAATCATAGCCGCTTAAGATATAAGAAAAGCCCGAGGCAGCCTGCGATGGAAAGTATCTTTTTTATGCAGACGCTTATTGAGATTAGCCACATAAGTTCAAGGCAGACATGTTTGAGATGTTAAATAACTGAACAAAATCGACTATTCTTGTCTGCTGCTTTCTTGGGAATTGGTATCGACGGATGATTATATTTAGTCGAGAAGGAATTTTAAAATAGTTGAAGTGAAGGAAGGGGGAAAAACCGGGTCATGTATGAGCCACACCCTCGAGCAAAACAAGAAATGTAAAAGCTAAAAATGGAGACACGGTAACAGTTTAGTCGAAAAAGTAGAAGATCTATGGCAGACATTTATATCGCAAAAAAACAAACGGAAAATATAGAAAATACGGTACATACGCACACATGTAAGCATTTATACATATGCAACAAGCGTGGTTGTGCAAAATCATTCGCATCCCGAGGAAAAGCCTTAATAAAGATCCAGTTGTTTCATCCTAGGATTATATTTATTCGTTAAATATATCGGCTGTGTCAAAACATTCTCAGCTCGATAAAGAAGCCATGACAAAACTTTAGTTGCTACATCGTTTCATTAAATTATGAGAAGCTTAAAATATTTCAGCATATCTCGAATATATATATACATATATATATATATATATATATATATATATATGTATGTATATATATTCGAGATATGTGTATATATATATATATATATATATATGCACACATATATAAACATATATATGTGTATATACACACACACGCACACACACACACATATATAATTATTTATTTAAAAATATGATTTGAATTAAATTGAATTAAAGTACTAAGCTCTGTTCCATCTTCAAGCGAAATTAACAGAGTTTAGTACTTTAATTAAATTTAATTCAAATAAGTATATTGAAGTTTTCGGCTCTTGCTTTGAAACATGAGAACTCGTATGTAGCGTGTTGGAATCATATTTTTAAATAAATAATTATATTTATGCTCTACTGTTGTATCGAACACTATTTTATAAAAATAATAACAAAAATACTTATTTATTTACCTAACAAGTTCTTTCCTATTTTCTATATATTTTTACACACACATATATATATATATATATATATAAAATCGATTCTCCCGTCGGGTTCGACGTATGAGGGTCAAGATGATCAGTTTCCTGGAAACTGACAGTCCGACACCGGCACATGAGATTCGATTATAGAGGTGAAGGTTTCGTGCAGGACCATCCACACTTTTTGAAGGGCCACAAGGTCCTTAAACAACCCCTCTCAGGTTTTGAATTCAGAGTTGTCCTTCTCCTAGACCAGTCTGTCCTGCTATTTTACCCATAGCTGGAGAGAGAAGAAGAGGATTCACACCTTTCCCAAGGGTATTAGCACGCAAGTGAATGTAATGGATTCAACCTGGATTCGAACTCGGCTCTGTGATTCCTCAATCCGAGCGGTTATCCATTACTCCACCGTGCCCCTAATATATATATATTATGAAATGGACAAAGTCCGACAATTATTTGAAGATATTTTTTTATGTTTATACCTTCTTTTTATAGCTACAAATATTTAAGTAAATGCTCTGTAAGAGGACGAATATTTACTATGAAAATTTCTCGGACATTCAGGCCGGTAAATGTTGTTTAATACTGTTTATTTTTATATATATATATATATATATATATAAAATAATATATATATATATATATATATATATATATATATATATATATATATATATATATATATATATATATATATATATATAAAAGAAGAGAGGTACCGCAAACATTTTTGGTTGTAATGTGGATTTTTTTTTAAAAATATTATGCTTTATTTTCCATAATTTTACTACACGTTTTTCTGGTTTCGCGACCGTCTAGAGGTAAAAGGCGGAGATTTCCACATATTATTAAAAATAATTAATTTTTTCCTTTATGTTATTCGATGTTAAATATTCTCGATATGAGACATTCTCTGTTTTTGTGTTAGTAATTTTACCGATTGAGCAACAGAGGATCGTTCGGTTAGAAAGGTCGATTTTACTGTTTTAAACTATAATCTTCCATGATTCTTTCACGTAAATTCATATCTGCTCGATTTGTATGTAAATGTAAACAAATGACGTCACACGTCATGAAATAGACAAAGTCCGAAAATTATTTGAAGACTAACATGAGTCTTTTAACATTCCTTGGGTTGGTGAAACAGTCTCTTTTAAGTTGTTATTTGAGATAAGAGCTGGATGAATCTATGCTGCTCTGAACTACCCTGGTCAGTTTGACAGTTTTATTGGTTCCTGGATAGGGGATGCGTCTCTGTTAAGTGTGTGTGTGTGTGTGTGTGTGTGTGTTTTATTTGGTTCTTAGGGAGTGAGTGAGTATGGTATGTGTAAGCGTGTATATTGCTGTCGGTGTGTGTTATCATTTGGCTCATTAGGGAGTGAGTGAGTATAATGTGCGTAAGTGTGTATGTTCATGTGGGTGTGTGTATAAGTGTGAGGCCTCAACACCTCCGTAAGTATGTCTGTCTTGTGTGGGTGAGAAATGTGGGTAGGATTTGATTTTTAGGGTTATATATTAATACTATCTATATTGTTAAATTTATGGTTTAGCCCGGCTGTATAGTGTGTTTTTAAACGTTGTATCCACTTATTTTCATGGAACTCTAAAATCTTTCACATGTTATCTGCTCTGAACTTTTCTATTCTTTCTTTCTCTCTCTCTCTCTCTCTCTCCCTATATATATATATATATATATATATATATATATATATATATATATATATATCGTTTATTGGGGCAGCAGATCATTATTTAAACATATATTATTAAATATAAGATACAATGCATGTTTATCGTGTTTGATCATAAGCTGTTCGAGTGTTTGCTTTAATTTCTTGTGAAAATAAAGACAAAAATTATTCAACATTTGGATATGTTTTTGTTTCTTAAACTTTCGACTCACATAAGCCATCCTCCGTGTGACTATACAGATATGTTACAAATATAACCGCCGTGAAAGATTTTGTTATTTTAACATAGTGTGACGTCCCGCCACAGCCTTCGTCCGCTCCTCGCTGCTTCGTTCGGGTGTCGCCGCTCCAAACGTGACGTCCGTCTGTCTGCGTCAGTCGTGTTGTCCCGTCCTGTGACGACCAACTGGCTTGGTATTGGTCGCGGCATCCAAATGTGACGTTCTAACCTTTTGGTGATACCGATGGGAATCTGGTCAGATTCGATATCAGCCTCGTCGTTCCCAACTCGCTTCCAACGTCTGGTTACCAAAGTAACTGCGTTGATCTCCAGTCCGCCTACCCACGTTGTGAATTGATCTTAGGCAGACGAAATCAATCAGTCGTTGGGGCCGTAATGCAAGTTGAGTTCAAATGAGGGTGGTATCACACAAATATGTGTAAAAGAAAATAAAATAATAACTCAAAAGTTCAAGGTATCAAAAAAAGGATAACAATACTTTATATCTGGTTGCTGGATACATAGGACTGCGTCTATCTCCCGACCCGCTATATGGATTGTGATACGTTGTTTTTGTTAGGTGAGTTTTAACATCTTTAGTTGTCTGTTCTTTAAGAAATTGGTTCTTGGTGTGTCTTCAGGCGATAGTCGTAAAAGTTATTTTGGTGGTATGGATCTAAGTCGCTCTTCAAAAATAAATTGTTCTTTGATTGAAGGTGAATTCGGAAGTTGCGCGAATCTTACAAGTCAGCTTTGCGAGGCCCACTTCAACTGCGAACTGAAAGCTGATCCGAACTGGACTGAACTGGGAAACTCATTTTCGCTCGCTGCGACTTTGCTTATATGGACGCCGACCAAAACCGGGGTGGGCTTTGTTTGGGTTTGAGGTTCCTTGATAATTCTAAATCCACAATCCCCATCTTTTGTTTTCGGTCAGGAAAAATTTATTATTTCCATTTTTGGAAGTCTTCTCTTAACCCTACCTACAGAGGGCGTCAACGATCCTCCCACTTCTTCGTTGTAACATCTTATACCTATCCTCTTTAAGGAGTAGTAGCAGACCTCCTCCCCTGCATCACATGATCACCTCCGCCTGGCTCTCGTTAACAAACAGTGTGGGCGTGACCAGACTCGCCTTGTTTCTAAAAAAAATATATCTTGCTCAAAGAATAAAGAATTATCTCCTCTTTTTTCTTTTTTTTTCTATTTCCTTTCTTTTCTTTTCTATTCTCTCTTCTTCTCTGGTCGCCAACAGAACAATGCGACCCGTAGTGTGATAACCTCAACTTTCATCTGGACTTCGTCAGTCAGATTTCCGCCAATTATCAGAGTGGGTGGTCATCCAGCAAATACGGCCAACTTTTCCGATAATATTGTTTCGCTCTTATCGCCACATTCTAACAAAAACCAGACCTTGTCTAACGATATATTTCTCTCGACAAAGACTTAACCTATTTTCCTTTGTTTTCTTTGGCCCGTGGGTGGTCAGGGCAGTCCTGTGACACAGTTAAATGTTTATCTATTCTGTCCCGGAGTTTAGCTAACCGATCTGGAATTTGTCAATTAGATTTTCGCCAGCACCCAGTGGCTGTTATCTATTCCCGATAATATAAGTCCGCCACCACGAC